AAAATATCCAGCCATGTTTTAACAGTTCTTGTCAATTCAACGTTCCTTCCTGGTCTAGCAATAATATTTGAACTTGATGCAGTGTTTTTTGCATATTGTTCCTTAATATTTTCTTCTAAAGTATCAACCTCTCTCGTCTAGCGACGAAATCTGTCTTCTCAAATGCAAAGAGTATTAAGAAAAAATAATTTACACACTCTCACTCTTGTGCATTTTGCGTCCAATTTATTGATGAAGATATCGTGGCCACTTTGTTTTTTTGCTTGTATACCTCTGTTGAGATTTACGTCGTCGTCTTATACACCTTCTCACTGCTGATGCTTTTATAAACGCGATCTTCTCAGGTCACGTCCTGAGCTTCCAAAAATGTTTATGAATTTGTTCACGTTCTTCATTGGATACAAGAGCACAAAGAAAATAATTTTTAGATTTAGGAACTGCACACGTGTGTAAGCAACGTGGTTTCAAAATTCTTTCAGGCTTCTCAACGCACGCTGTCCATTTGTCAGCTAACTTTTTATACCCAAGGTACGATTTACCGACAACCCGGGCTTCTTTATTCAGTTTAACGGTGCACGGAAGTGGTCTTTGTACAGATACAGAGGTATTATCATCAATATTCTCCCACTAAAACTGTCATCACCATCACTATCACCATTATCACTATCCAGAGAAGGCAAGGTCCTCCAATGTCTTAAAAATAAGTTTCTGTTTTTTCGTAAATCTTGCACAGACGATGACCTGATATTTTCATTGATGTCCAAATGTTGTTCAACCTGGCTCCACAATAGATAAAGAATCCGCCTCCGCCGTGAAATCTCTGGGACCCAATCTGGGTCATCATCACTGTTATCGCTCAAATTTTCAAAGATAGGTGTTGGTGATAGCACGTGCTTCGATTTAGATGCAATACCCGGTTCTTCAATGGCATGGAGTATGCTGATGCTATGATCAGGTGAAGCATTCGTAACGTCATCTTCAGATGCACTACCCTGATCTTCAGCGGCATGGAGCATGCTGATGCTTTGATCAGATAAATCTTCCGTAACGTCATCTTGATTATTTAATCCTGAAGATATTAAGCCCAAGTTTTCTTGCGTAATAAGGGAACCGCTAGAACAGGTTTTCACCTTAGGAGGTTCCCCAAAATCATAAATAATACTTAATTCAGAGTCACTTGTATTTTGCTGATTAACTAATAACTCAATCTCACTTGGACAGAGCGTTTTACTCATTTTTTATGGTGTTACACTCACAAATCGAATAAACTTTCGTTTTACGTAACGCGGACGAAGTAACGACCTGCAAAGCACTGAAATAAAAAATACATTAATACCTATAATGAATGACATCTATCATCTACGATTGGAGAGTAATCACACGATTTATCTTGCTTGTCTCCGTGATATGTGTGCTCTAAAGTCACATAGGTAAATAATTTTGAAAATACCCGCCATTCTCGTCGTGCATATTAACGCACATAAGATATTTTGATCTAATAATTGCCTAAAGGTCCCGAGTATGACATATAACTAAAAACTCGTATGTGTAGAGTTACACATAAGATATTTTAAGCACCAACTTTTAATTGGAAAGCACATTATAGATCTTGAAATTGGTAAATAAATGATGATTGAATAGTCGTATACACATGAGAGTTTTTGTATTCGATAGAGCTTCAAAATGTGAAAAAGACTGGCGAAAAAAAGTGATTTTGCCTAAAGTGACACATAAGAGGTCTTAAAGTCGCAACGACGGTATGGTGTATTAATTAATAATACTATATCGGTAATGTTTTAAAAGAAACGAATATGTATTTCTGATTTAGATTACTGGTTCACCGCTGAAAGACGTGAAAAACCCGCCAACACCTAAAAATCAGAGTCATTGCTTAGAAACGCCTACAAAACAAAAAAGAAAATTTTCTCCTATACCTGATACGCCATCTGCATTTGATACTCCAGTTAAAAACGTCTTTGTAGAAGATTCGTCGAATTAACCAACGTAATGAACAAGAAAGATAAAAAAGTTAAAAAGATAAGTGATTCCAACAGAAGACTAAAAACACAAATAGTTTCTTTGAAGTCATTATTGGTAGAATTAGAAAACAAAAATTCATTAGCAGCGGAAAACAATGACGCATTAAGTTCCTTAGAAAAATCAGGCAAAATTGTTATAAAAAATTATTCACCACAATTGAGAGCTTTTGCACTCACCATAAATTACTCAGCTAGGTTTATAATTATGTACGCAAAACATTTAATACTTCTTTACCTTCTGTAAAAACACTAGGAAAGTTTGTAGTTTTAACACAATCAATTAAGCTTAATTATAAATAATAATAATACTCGTAATAAAATAAAAATAATAAATATAAATAAGCATACCTAACAAAACTGCTTATTTATTTGTTTGAGTTGTTATTGTATGAGGATATTTTTCATGAAATAAAAAAATCACCAATTCGATAACGAAAGTTGTAATCATGTCATTGATTTAGCTAAGAGTGTTATGGAAAAAGACATACTCGTAAGATTACTCTACTCATCCAGGAAGACAGATCCTAAGAATTCTGTGAGACAATTTTATACTAAGATTATCCATTTTAAAAATTAGTCAAATATATATTTATAAATTAAATGTACAAATATATGTATACAATGTTTAATTTTTTAATAAACATGAAATAAAAATTGATCAATATATTTATTTATCATTATCAATAATCAATAAATCCCAAATTTATCGATCAACGTCCCAACCCTGTTCCATCACTATGGTTTGGTACATTCAAAGTTTGACCTTTAAATATCCAATCACAGCGCATTTGCCACGTCCCCCGCAACCCTTGCATAGGGCCAAATTTGGTGAACTCGAAACAGAACAAATATTCAATGATGCGGAATCTATTAGGGGGTAATCTGTGCTTTTAGGTGACAATGTGCGCGTGCATCGTAACAACTTCATGGTGTCGTTGTTAGGTGTAGGACGCACACGTCCTTGGTTATAAAAAGATACTCAGTGATACATCTCAACTACGAATCAAAATGCAGATGCATTGTCACCCGTGAGGACTAAGATGGAATGCCTTGTTGGGGTGGGTCCCTGGTTCTCTACACTCACCATACGAAACACAGCAACATTGAGGTACTATTTTACGCTGGTATTCTGTGAGAGCGTGGTCCTTCCCCGGTCGAGCCGACCCATTCGTGCTACAACCATACAATAATATAGCTGCAACATGACTCTATCCACGTATAATTACCACGAGAGATAAAATAACGACGAATAAAACTCGTTGAATAACCTAAGCTAGTTGCCAGCTAAATATATATTACTTAAATGAGTGGGGGGTTTTACGCTTATTTGTTTTCTACCCTCACTTGTGACACAAGCCTTATTAAAATAAAATTTCTGTGATTATAATGCGCTTACTTATTTTAATATGTGTACTTATGTTTATTTATTCATTTATGCTTGAATAACATGCAGTTTGTTTCTCAAGTCTCAAACAATATATAATTTTTGTACAATCGGCCATAAATCAAACGCTAATACTCATACATAACGTTAATATAATCAGGTGTTACTTTGCGAAAATCCATTATATTAGAGTTGGTAAAATTACTTCATTCATCCCCGTCACCACTAGACTAGGAAAGACCCACCATCGGCATCGTCAAGTGAAGTAGACTCTGCGGTGACTGACCGCTAAGGCTTTACCGTATTATCGATAGTGGCGTGTCTTTCCTAGTGTAGTGGTGTTGGGATCAATGGTGACGGGGATAGTGCACGAAATTGAGGGAGGGTGGGAGATGTTCTTCAAACTAGGTAAGACACAATTTTATTTCATTAAGCTGATATAAGCAAAGTAATTTTTACTAATTTTAATACGCAGCTTCGTCACGGTGTACTTATCTATCTATTACAGTCTATAAAAGTCCATGAACCATAGTCTCTAGTCCTATAGATTGCCTCACAGGGATGATTTTGTCATAGTTGTCAAGTAAAATCCGTAGTTTTTTTCATTATTTTGAGTTGTTTTTTTTTTCTTATCATAAGCCAGTGCTTGACCACAATCCCACCTGGTGGTAAGTGGTGATGCAGCCTTAGATGGTAAATCGCACTGTCTTATCGTAACAAAAGCCTATTTACTCTTGCCTTGAAGACGCCTAGATTGTATTCGGATGGAAAGATAGACGCCGGCAAATTATTCCACTCCTTTGCTGTACGCATTACAAAAGACGAAGCAAAGCGTTTGGTTCTAATGCGTGGAATATCGACAACAAAGGGATGAAGACCCGCCGACCGTCTGGTTGTCCGATGGTGGAAAGGAGAGGGAGGAATTAAGGTGTGTAATTCCTGCGCACACTCACCGAAATGCATCCTATAGAATACCGAGAGACTGACTGAATACTGGCTACTCTGCGCCTGTGCTCGAGGCTGACAAGATAGGGTTTCAACCAAATCAAGGTCACCAATGAGCCTCTTAGCACGTCTCTGCACTGAGTCCAATGCTGCCAGGTGGCATTTTGCAGCACCAGCCCATATGTGACAGCAGTACTCCATGCACGACCGGACTTGCGCTTTATATAAGGTAAGAAGCTGCCCGGGCGTGAAGTACCGCCGCACCCTTGCAAGGACACCAAGTTTCCTTGCGGCTGCTTTGACTCTGGACTCAATGAACCGCCCATAGTTTAGGTTCGGAGAAAATTAAATCCCTAACAACTGAAGGCGGTCAGTGTACTCCAAGGATACATTCCGGAAAGTAGGAGCCAAGGTGAGCGGGCTCCTTTTAGCGGTAAAAAGACACGCTTGTTGTTATCCGGAAGATGCCGCTGCCCATCTCCTGTTTTAATTTCCCTCTGTCGCCACTTACGATACCCACGGGGCGATATGAGGTAGCGGATATTTTAACACCGCCATTACACGGTTTGTATGGGTGTTCTTATCTGTGTAAGCAGTAATAGCAGGTAAAAGTTCTTAATAAAACAATAAAACAGTTTTACAAAGTTTACTTCTGAAAAATACTAACTGAGATCCAAATCTAGAAAGTAAATCATTCGACGAGTAAAATAATTTATATAACTTCTAAAATAAATAAAATCTTAAAATTATAATACAGCAATATAAACCACCTTGATCTTAATAAGTAAGCCATTCTGAAGGCAATCATTAAAATTATAGTCCAAAGTCGTTCATCAGTTTTTTTTTCTACAGGGAATTTTCAAACTACAAATATTATTGTACTTTTATACTTCATTGTTACGTTTATCGAACCATAAAAGTCATAATAGTGTATTAAAGTTCCTAAACCATACAAAAAAAATTAAACAAACTTCATTCATTATAACTACTATTGTACTTTTTTTTAAGTTTAAGACTTTGTATACATGGAGGTTTTCTGATCATATATTCAATATGTAAAACCAATTTTAACATTCTTATATTAAAATCAAAGTATATAAAGTTATGATTACGATCACAACATATAAAATGTGCCTGTATTTGTCTTTGCAAGTATATTCAAATTACCGCCGCCGAATCAACAATAGCATGATGTTGTAGATTACTAATTAAATTGTTCGGACGATGTTTTACACGCTAAAAATGTGTGACTATATCTATAAATATGGCGCGATTTGATCCGTCAAAACATTTAAATATAACTAATATCAACTAATGTTAGTACCACAAAAAGCAAAGACATTCATTCACCACAGCTGCGTCCATGTCTAATGGAACTCTGCATCGCTCTTACGTATTTTCAACCGACTTCAATATAAATAAAATGAAAACATCATCAATATAGTCGAAATCAATTCAATACACATTATTAATGATAATTGAAAAACCACATGACCACATATTATATGGGACCACATGACAAGCACCAGCTATCAAAGAATCATCAAAATCGGTTCTCCTAGAAAAAAGTTCGGAGGTAACAAATTCAGTCGAATTGAAAACCGATGTTGAGAATTCTTTGATGATTTTTATTTGAAAGCTGGAACTTCTCGTGTGGTTCCATATAAATTTGATCAAGATCTGACCAGTAGTTTTCGAGTTATCCTTAATTATATAGCTTTAATTTGTTATATGATTCATTAAAATACGCTATTACCAAATAATTACTACACACAGACACCAGTTTATATCTGGTTGCAGCCAAATTAAAAATAGCTACACACACTCTTTAAATTCTTTATAAATTTCCCGTTGATAATATTGATAATTAAAAAAAACAAGTGACGGAATTGTTCACAAAAAGTGCATTAAATAAATTGTAAATAAAAATATTTGAGTTCTGATTTTAATAGGCTACCCGGCAGAGTCCAAATCAAATCAGTTTCTAAGACAATGTTGACTAGCTTCCAACTTAAAAAAAAAATAGAGCATTTAACAGGAAAACATATGCCAACAACGACGTGAAGACATCATGTAGTTCTACGAGGCCTGAGGGGGAGCGGGGTGTACAGCACCGGCATGGACACACAGCAAATGAACGCGAGTTATATGGATAACAATAATTCGTTTGATACTTTTTCGTAAAAAAAAATGCAAACTCCTGTTGGCACAAGTCTTCCCCCATTTTTAGATCATGGAGTAAGGGGAAAAAACTTCTGTGCTTTTAGTGTTTTTTGGTGGATTTCAACGATTCTCGAGATATTTTCAATTCCTCGGCTCTTTACATGCAGATTTCCTACTTTCCATCACTGATAAGCACATAAAATTGCCATTAACAAGGCAGTCAGTTGTCACGGCTATCTTACTTAACGTTATTATTATAGAAGTATGTTTGTTTGGATGTCTACCCTTCCATCACTCTCGAGTGGCTTTTTTCTGTAAACCTACTTTATGGCTCTGGGTTCTAGCCCTTCTGAGCCTGAAGTTACAATGATGATTCTTATGAAATTTGGCATAATAGTAGATTATGTCATGGAAAGAAAGTGAAATGGACATGTAATATTTTTAACAATTATCACTTATGTCTAATTTACGCACAGCGAAACGAGCAGGTAATAGCTATTTTATAATACATAAAATCCGCCTGCTCGGTTGCCAACCCGCCTACCAAGCATGGCAACTATGGCAAATGTACCAACTACGAAGGAATCAATGGTCTGGACTGGCAATGGACTTTTATATGCTGTAATGGTGATTATGATAAAATAGATTAGATCGTGTCTCATTTCTATCACCATCGGCTATGTAGTTAGTATTGCTCGTACAATTGCTATATTTAAATTTTAGCGTTTTTAGACAAGTCATTTTAGATATTGTGATCATAATTAATAACTGAGTACATCCCTCAATATGCAATGAATGTGACATATTGATGACACCATCATCAAAATAGTATGTAGGTACTAAGATAAAAAAAGTATTTCGCACAGATTTATTATTTATTTTAGGAGAAAACGTACGAAGTCAACGATCAATTCTAATGTACGATTCATAGCTAAGTAACGATAAGGATATTGGCGACTCGGTGATCATTATTGCAGAAAACGTAACTAGCAGACATAAGAAACATTCCAAAAGGCTCGCTAAACAACCCTATTAAATTAGAATCTAGTAGAATCAAAACATTTAAACACTGCGATTTCATCTACTATTTATAGACAATTTATAAGTGCTACTTTGATGAAGAATTGCTATAAATAACATCTAAGAACTATTTAAACTTTATCATATCGGGCTCTAAAGAAAATGTACCTTAACATATTAAAATCTGTATCTGTATGAATGCCAGTATAAATAGAAACTAAAATGAAAAATAAAAATAATAGGATTTTATCCAAGGCCAAAAAAACGAGAAGAATTCGACGCCTGTTTTTTTTTTATGTATGTAAACCGATTTCTCCAAAACAGCTGAAACTTACGATACGATACTTACTTTTTTTAATTAATCAGGAGTGGTCCCACATAAATTAAAGAAAAGTCTATCTCTAAAAATAGGGAATAAAGATTTTAATGTACCTATTTAAAGAAAATTCTCGTTTTGTACACTTATGATATTTCTTAGACCCCTCAAAATGATTGAATTTTTATTTCAATAATTAAAAAATATATAAACTAATAGCTTATGAACTACATCAATTTAAATAATTTTTAATAGGCTATACTGACTGCAGTATGATCTATAAAAAAATTTAATTGATGTAGCCGTTTCCAAGAAATCGGTGAACATATTACATAAAAAACAAACGCCTCGAATATATAACGCCATTTTTTTAACTCTGTTATTTCTTTAAAAGTTTAATATTTCGCTTTGACTCTAAATAGTCTAATTTTATTTTCAATTAAATATCAGCTCAGCCTTTGAAAATGAAAATAGCGAATATGTCATGATTTTGTACCATGTAAATTTTTATATGCAATGTATGAAAAGTGCAATCTGTCTCATCTATGGTACTTGGTACCTTCAAACGAGTCAAGTTATGAATAGTACATAGACGAATCGAAAATAGTTTTATTATAACAACTTAAACCCTCAATAAATAATTTTACTAGGCGGCGCTGTCGTGTTGGTATTCATCGCCTGCTCTAACGTGTCAAGACGACGGTACGCATGGCCGCGACTGTTTCGACGGCGTCCTGGCTGCCGTCCTTCGACTATTAACCCAAGGATCTGTAACACAACATATTGTAACATTATACAGAGGTATTTTATCATTCTAAATCCTTTGTTCAGATTATTAAAAATGTGTGGATTAATACTGTTACGCGCCACTATTAATGTCTTGTACATGGCAACACTAGTTACACTAGCGCCCTCTAGTGTCAAGTAAAAGAAAGTGTTGCGCGCCACTATTAATGTCTTGTACATGGCAACACTAGTTACACTAGCGCCCTCTAGTGTCGAGTAGCAGAACTACGAGAGTCGAGATCCTTCCAGAAATTTCGGGACCGATATGTACTCGAACATTCTAGATGTCGCTACAGTAGAAGGTTCCGGAAATTATCTGAGGCCCTATATAAGGCCGGTATAGACCACGACCAGAGCAGTATTGAATTGGCGATACAAGAGAATACTTCGTAGCGAAATAACGGCGAACTGTGTTTTATTATTAGTGTGATTTTAGATTGTAATTAGTGTTGTGTAATTAAAGTGTCAATTTTGGTAATTCAATCGGCAGTTTTTAATTGTCTCGAACCCCAAGCTCGTAACAATTGGTGTCAGAAGTGGGATCAAATATGCCGATTTTACCTAAAGACGACACGGGGGGTATCCGTACCCGAAATCAACGCCAACAGGAGACAGACCAGAGACGATTTGGTAATGCAACGCCGCAAACGTCGGAGGGCCAGTTGCTAACCACGGAGGCTGGCCCGTCAGCAGCTCCTGCATCTGCAGCACCTGACTTAGCTGCTCTGATGATGATGCTGCAGGATCAGGCTCGCCGACAGGAGGAACAGGCCCGCCGACAGGAGGAACAGGCCCGCCGACAGGAGGAACAGACCCGTCGGCTGGAAGAGCAGCTGCAGCGCGGTATGGAAGAACAGATGCTCCTCAGGAAGGACCTTCACGCTACCTTCGGGAAAGAGATAAAGGAGGTGAAGGATAGGGTTGCTCAACATGACAACCGCCTGTCGGAAACTGAAACCCGAATCGACCAAGTGAACAATCGGGTTGACAACGTGATGGCTGATGTGAAGAAAACGCTGGACGACCTCAAACTTGGGGATGGAATCACAGCTCCCACACCTTCGCTACGTGGATTCAAAGTGCCGCCGTTCGACGGGAGTTCTTCCTGGTCGGCCTAAAAAATCCAGTTCGAGGCTGTCATGAAAGCGAACGGCTGGAATAAAAGTCAGGCCATGACTGCTCTCACCCTAGGCCTACGCGACCAGGCCTTAACTGTTTTGGAAGCGCTCGGTAAGGAAGTGACTTACGAGCAGCTCCTTGAGGCATTGGAGGCAAGATATGGCGATGCTCACCTGGAACACGTCTTTCGTGCGCAGCTCAAAGATCGCGTGCAACGCAGTAACGAAAACCTGCAGCAGTGGGCCCTTGAGGTGGAGAAGCTGGTTCGAAAAGCGTACCAGTCTGTACCTGTGCTCATTGTAGGGAACCTGGTGCAGACTTTCATCGACGGCATCCGCGACCTTGAAGTCAGAGCTGCTGTGAGGCTCGGGCACCACGAGACGCTTAAGGACGCCCTGACCCATGCACTGGAGGTGGAAGCCGTGCGGCAGGATCATCGTTCCCACCGCGTCAGGGAGGTTGCAGCAGCTACAGTTCAGGACCGCAATAAGGGCTACAACCCTAGGTGCTACGGCTGTGGGGAAAGGGGCCATCTTCGATCCAGCTGCCCTAAACGAACTGTAGAAAGGGAAGGTGATCGATCTCGAGAGGGTAGTGCGGATAATAGCACCGCCCAGCAGCAGCAGGGAAACGAGTAAAAGCCAGGACTGCGGGGCGGGTGCTGGCTGATGTTAAAAGAGCCCCAAGGATTTCGATCTCACAAACCCATGATGGGAACAGCCTAATCATCAAGGGCGAAGTCAACGGAACGCCGTGTAAACTGACCATAGACACTGGAGCCTCTCGCACGGTTGTCAGTTCACAACTTATAAGTCGGTTTCTTGGGGACTCCGCATACAACCGAGAACGCATTAATTTGGTGACAGCCACCGGTCAGCGCATACCCGTCCGTGGAGAGAAGGAGATGGAGTTGAAGCTAGGCAACATGATCTACCTGCCTAATGTCATCGTGGCTGATATAATGGACGACTGCATCCTGGGCCTAGACTTTATGAGGAAGAATTGTTGTGAGATCGACGTTAAGCAAGGTGTTTTGAAATGTGGACAAGAAGAACTTTTCGTGGAAGGGGCGTTACCAGGGAATGTGTACAGCCTTAAGTAGATTGTTCTTCCGCCGAGATCGGAAACGATTGTGCCGGTTAGTCTTCCTCGGAGTTCTGGGCAAGCCCATCGTTGTGTACTCGTGGAAAGGGTAGACAATGACCTTCCATGGAAAGTGGCTCGAACCTTGGTCAGAACCACCGACATCTCAGGAGTACGTGTGTTGAACCTTTGTGATCAGGAACAGATTATAGAAAAAGGCACATTGGTTGGTACTAGTGAGGAAGTGGATTGGTTGCGTCGATGCGAATATCTATCGACCGGGACCCCCAGCAAGGATGGACAAACGATAGTGACCACACTTTTAGAAGACTGTCGCAGCGTTCTTTCCCCGAATGAAATGGTCAAGGCGAAGAAGTTGTTACTCAAGTACGCCAATGTTTTCTCGTCAAACGAAGCTGACATAGGAAAGACTGGCTTAGTTCAACACAAAATAAACACAGGACAAGAATTGTCTATTCGTCAGCGGCCAAGAAGATTGCCTGTAGCACGTGAAAAGGAAGTGGAAACCATGATTGAGGGAATGGTGAAGGATGGTGTTATTGAACCTTCATCTAGTCCATGGAGTTCACCTGTGGTGCTGGTAAAGAAGAAGGACGGCAGCATGCGGTTTTGTGTTGACTATCGCCGCCTGAACGACGTTACAAAGAAGGACAGCTATCCCTTGCCAAGAATTGATGACACGCTGGACATGCTTACAGGCGTAAAGTGGTTTAGTACGCTAGATCTGAAAAGTGGCTACTGGCAGGTTGAAATTGACCCTAAGGACAAGGAGAAAACTGCATTCTCCACAGGAAAGGGTCTGTGGCAATTCAAAGTCATGCCATTTGGATTGTGCAATGCTCCAGCAACGTTTGAAAGGTTGATGGAGCTTGTACTTACCGGGCTAATTGGAGATGCTTGTCTGGTCTATTTGGATGACATCATCATCGTAGGCCGTACGTTTGAGGAACACCTTCAAAACCTGGAACGCGTGCTCATGAAGATCCAGAGTGCCAACGTCAAGTTGAGTCCAAAGAAGTGCTCACTATTCAAACGGCAAGTTAGTTTTTTGGGGTATGTAGTGTCGGAAGAAGGTATCCGCACGGATCCAGAGAAAATTGCTGCTGTCAAAGAGTGGCCGGTCCCAAAAGACAAGACACAGGTTAGAGCATTTTTGGGTTTGTGCTCTTATTATCGGCGATTTGTGAAGAACTTTGCAGATATAGCCAAACCTCTGCACAAGCTAACCGAGGAGAAGCGACATTTCTGCTGGGATGAAAGTTGCGATATTGCATTCCAGGAGCTCAAGGACCGTCTGTGCAAAACACCTATTTTGGGGTACCCTGATGCGGGCAAGGAATTCATAGTTGACACAGACGCAAGTGATATAGGACTTGGCGGTGTGTTGTCTCAACGGAATGGTGATCAAGAGATTGTGATAGCGTACTTCAGCAAGTCTTTGTCAAAGCCGGAAAGGAACTATTGTGTCACAAGACGGGAATTGCTTGCTGTGGTAAAGTCCTTGCAGCATTTTAGCAAATATCTTCTAGGGCGGAAATTCCACTTACGAACTGACCATGCTGCACTGAAATGGTTATTGCAGTTCAAAAATCCGGAAGGACAAGTTGCGAGATGGATAGAACTACTGCAGGAATACGACTTTGTGATCGAACATCGCAGCGGGAAATCTCATGGCAATGCAGATGCATTGTCAAGAAGACCTTGCCCTGAAGATTGCAAGCATTGTACTAGGCAAGAGGGTAGGGAAGAGGTATCTGTGAGAATGCTCAGGACAGACCAGCTCAGCAATGAGTGGAAGGACAGCCTACAACATGCACAGCAGGAAGATTCGGACATTAAGCCGATTCTGGAATGGATGAAGGCCAGTGCTCCTAAGCCCAAGTGGAGCGACGTCTCAGCAATGAGTTCGACCACGAAAAGCTATTGGGCCGAATGGGACAGCTTGCTGATTCAGGATGGAGTCCTGTGCCGTAAATGGGAAAATGGTCGAGGAGACAGGTGTCATTTGCAAATGGTTGTCCCTAAGGCTAAAGTGCCGGATATTCTACAGCTGTACCATAGTAGTTGTTCAGGAGGCCACCTGGGAGTTAAACGAACTCTCCTGAAGATCCGAGAACGGTTTTACTGGGTCCACTGTCGTGACGATGTCGAGGACTGGTGCCGCAAATGTACAAGTTGTGCGGCTGTAAAGGGACCTCAAATTCGTAGTAGAGGCGCATTGAAATTGTACAATGTTGGTGCACCATGGGAGAGGATAGCCATTGACGTTGCGGGGCCGTTTCCGGAAAGTGAAAGTGGTAACAAGTATTTCATGGTTGTGATGGATTACTTCACTAAGTGGCCAGAGGTCTTCGCCATTCCAAATCAAGAAGCTTCAACAATTGCAGATAAACTAGTTCATGAAGTCTTCTGTCGTTTTGGAGTACCTTTAGAGATTCACAGCGATCAAGGAAGGAATTTCGAGTCTCAAATATTCCAGGAAACTTGCAGAGTTATGGGTACTCATAAAACACGAACAACTTCTTACCACCCACAATCTGATGGAATGGTAGAACGATTTAATCAGACATTGGAAAGGTACCTGGCAAAAGTTGTGGAAAAACGGCAACGAGACTGGGACAGGCACATACAACCGTTTTTGTTGTCATATCGAAGCGCTGTTCACGAAAGTACGTCAGTGACGCCAGCTTTCGCAAACTTTGGGAGAGAATTACGGCTGCCTGCAGACCTAATCACCGGAATACCACCTGATGCCCCACGCAGTATAACCGATTATGCAAATGACTTGCGGAACAAAATGAATGAGATTTATGAGCACGTCAGACAGACGGGCCAGCAAACGTCTGAGAAGATGAAAACACGGTATGACCGCAAAATGAACAACAAGGGGTTTGATGAAGGTTCACTAGTGTGGTTACACAATCCAGTTCGCAGCAAAGGGAAATCTCCTAAGCTTCAAGCTAAATGGGACGGACCGTACCGGAATGTGACAAGGATCAATGACGTAACCTACCGGATACAGAAAGGTGCCAGAGGTACTCCTAAGATCGTCCATGTGGATCGACTGGCGCGTTATTATGGGGCCAATAATGCTCGGGACGAGCATGTCTTAGGAGGGGGCAGTGTTACGCGCCACTATTAATGTCTTGTACATGGCAACACTAGTTACACTAGCGCCCTCTAGTGTCAAGTAAAAGAAAGTGTTGCGCGCCACTATTAATGTCTTGTACATGGCAACACTAGTTACACTAGCGCCCTCTAGTGTCGAGTAGCAGAACTACGAGAGTCGAGATCCTTCCAGAAATTTCGGGACCGATATGTACTCGAACATTCTAGATGTCGCTACAGTAGAAGGTTCCGGAAATTATCTGAGGCCCTATATAAGGCCGGTATAGACCACGACCAGAGCAGTATTGAATTGGCGATACAAGAGAATACTTCGTAGCGAAATAACGGCGAACTGTGTTTTATTATTAGTGTGATTTTAGATTGTAATTAGTGTTGTGTAATTAAAGTGTCAATTTTGGTAATTCAATCGGCAGTTTTTAATTGTCTCGAACCCCAAGCTCGTAACAATACAAATAAAAATGAAAAAATGGCAATCGCACTAAACAATCTAATTTAATATAATATGTATTACTTGAGAGATACATTGTGTTTTCATGCGATGGCCAAGTCAATCTATTTATTTAAAATATAAAATATTTTTAGTATTGAGGTGGTCACTATAAGATGTTGTTAGGTTAGCTAATTACGTAATAACTTAGACAGAAGGAAAGTAACCGACTTGGTATTACATGGATCTCACAACTTTTTACGGTAGAAGAACTGAGTTGCGACTTGGTTTGTTTTTGATGGGATTACCTTTTTCATTGTGTCAACTTCACTTACACGCAGTGCATGCGCACTACTTATATGGCCAATCGAAATAAAACGTAAAATTAACGTTATAGTACTTTATACTAAAACCAAACAGTCACAAGGGACCTTATCTTTTATCACTTGTAGGATACTCGTATAATATTTGTTATTAAGTGTCCTTATTTTTCCTTTGTAATTTTTTTTTTGTTACTTAGATGCATCCAAGAATTTATCAAACTATCCTAAATGATATTTAGTTATTAAATTAGATGTATATGTTATTTTTTATATGTGGTAGAACCATGCTGCAGCTATATTAATAGTATAGTTGTAGCACGAAAGGGTCGGCTCGACCGGGGAAGGACCACGCTCTCACAGAATACCAGCGTACAACGACAGCTTAAAGCTGCTGTGTTTCGTATGGTGAGTGTACAGAACCGGAGACCCGTTTTGCTGGAAAAGAAGCATTCCATCTTAGTCCTCACGGGTGACGGCGCATCTGCATTTTGATTCTTTATTGAGGATAAATGTAGATGTCTAAGGGTCACAGCAACCACTTACCATCAGGTGGACTGTGTGCTCGTTTGTCACCCTATCCTATAAAAAAATATTTATATTACAATGTTATAATTTGTCTTCCTAACAAAATAAAATCAAACATCCTATCATTGCCATGTTTTTGTTTTATTTTTTTACCTTAATAATTATTATCAGCTAGGAACTTTATAAAATTTCCTAGCTGATAATAATTATTAAGGTTTAACCGTCATTATCAGACATTCAGGTATAATCAGTCTGAGCTGCCTCGCCTATTCTAATTATCTACAGGTCTGTCTATAGACAGAATAAACTATATCTTCTAATATATAAAAAACAATGTTTGTTCGTTCGTATTTTATCCCGTCATGTGCCCTGCCATTTTACTTTGTTTGTAACTAACCCTCGAATAGTTTTACTCTTTGGTCGTATTCTCAGATAACTTCGTTTGCGTTTTTCCAACCGAAACATAGAGGAACCAATACTGGGTATTGTTACTCTAGAGTTTGTGAAGCAATAAAAACAATAACATTTGACAATTATCTGTTGTCGGCAACTTTGGTTATTAACAGATATAGGTAGAAAAGAACATCGGTAAGTATTATAGACAAGGAACTCGACAACCCTATTGAATTTCATTGTTTATCAAAACTCAGTAATATAAAGCCAAAGATATTGGTAATCACGATATTAAGATTAGTACCAATTATTTAAGTACCTATTTTATCAAATAGCTTTTTTAATATTAACTATGTTTTCACTTACTTGTGGATTAACTGAAATTGGTTGTTATAGCACTTTCCTTTTGGTAAGGAGTTTTACAAATTATACACACTCATTATTACTAAAAAAAAAAAATCTTAAAATATAACATATTCAAACTACACACAATAACTTCCTTTTTTTCGTTTAAAATACAAAGATACGATTTAAACAACACAACAGACTTTAGTATATTATATGAATTTTAGTTCCCGGTACGAACAATGGCTGTGCTGCAAATTGGCACAAACATTTTGTAGGATATAGCTAGTCCAGCATACTTGTATATATAGAGGTCAGTGTCCCACATACAGTATTGTATGTATTTTAAATACGTTTTCTTTTTTTTTAACATTACCTTACACTCGGGTGCTAATATTCAATAAGTATTTCTTTTAATTTCATATCTCAGCTGTGATATTGTCATACTGTACTTGAAAATGAGTTTGCGGGTACCTTCTAATAAGTGATGAAACACATTAAGCTTTTATTTAGTTATTTTATTGACTTAAAGGATAGATCACTTTAAAATAAAAATTCATGTAGGGGTCATAGAAGTATAAACAAATTTTAGCTTTTCAAGCTTCTGGACTTGCGTATGGTACCCAGTTCAAAGAAACAACAACAAGAAACAACAATACATGAATCACTTTTGACTTGCTGATTATATTATAGTAATTTTAACAGATTTGAGAAAAAATGTCCGATTAGGCGAGCCCAACTTTGACCAAGAGATCAACTAACGAATCCAACTTAATGAGGTCACGTTCGCGAAATTGACGCACATTTTCTCCTCCGGTATACCATTGGATTTTAAAACAAGTGTACAGCCTGTGTATGTGTGTGATGACTTATGGAACCGCCACATAGTCTTTCACTGCTAGCATTATAAAGAAGCTCAATATCTAATAGCAAACTATGGAGCTACACTCAGGGTAACATATAACTGATCATCAATCATATACCACAGAATTTTAAGACAAATGTGTACAACCTGTAAGTGTTACCAAGTTTACTAATGAAAAGGCCAAATAGTCCTTCACTGCTAATTGAATGAGAGCTAAACTCACGGTAACTCTGTGTGATGACATCCATGACAGATATCCAGTGAATATAGATAAATATGTGCAACCCAATGCATCAGTCAGTAAAAGTAGCAAAAGGTTAGCCAAATAACTTAAAAAAGTGACAACCAATGGGGAAGTTTCTCGATTGGCCTTATAAGGCCTTACACAGTTACACTAACTAATAACTCTTATATTAGCAAGTACACTAGATTGAGTGACAAACATACAAAGAGTTAACGGTTGCAGGTGATTAAGAAACATGTTTTGTGGCAATCTGTGGGGGTAGCTATAATTTTTTAACAATGGATTTGTGTTGGGTTACAATAATAATGATGATGATGATGATGAATCAAAAATATATAATATATTACTTACCACTTTAGTAAATTTACTTTTGTTGTGATACAAAATATAAAGTAGAACAACAATAATCACTGCTGTCAAGAAGAATGAAAAGAAATGATCATCTTCTTCTACAAATTCATCTTGAGGTACTTTTGAGATAAAATCTGAAAACAACAAACACAATATCTGTAGCAAAATAAAACCTTTTCAACAGGATATATAATTCATATTGTGTTTCAGTACTTGGCTGTTGTTTGTTTTGTAACAATACCTTTATTAATAATTGCATTAGGTATTGAAACCTGAAAGTTATGAATGATTAAATATAGACTGTATTTAAAGACGTTTTGCTTTTAATATAGTCCGATTTTAATCAAATGTTTATGATCTACCTCTTAATTTCATGGCATCAAAGCTTTTGTGCATTATGTCACAGTTTCTGAATCAAAAAAATTTCCGAACCTATGGTTTGTACTAATGATAAATTGTGGGTTTTCAAAACTATAGTCCACTAAGTAGTTCCAATTATGCACATGTCTACAACACCACTTTTGAATGTAACTTTAATTATATAATAAGACAGATTTGTTACAAATTGAAGTGACAAATGAAATTACAGTTCACACAAGAACAAAAGGAACTTACAGGACACCTGCAATAAACTTCCAATAAAGAAAGCTATAGATGCGTGAATATTTCTTGTCCTTCAGATAGGAACACATGTAGTTTAGTAAGTTTGTGTGTCACTTCAGTTCTATAGTAATAATTTAAAATTTAAAATTTTGTACAGCTTACTTCAATATAAGTTATTTAAGAATAACTCAAAAACTATTGGTCTGACCTTAACCAAATTCATATGGGTCCACACGAGAAGTATCAGCTTTCATATAAAAAAGAATCATCGAAATCGGTTCACCCAGTACAAAGTTATAAGGTAACACACATAAAAAAAAACATACAGTCGAATTGAGTACCGTCTCCTTTTTGGAAGTCGGCAGAAAATTACAGAAACAAGTGTGTCAATCTACCCTGCTTTGTGACATAACAATTAAATACATTAAGTCAAGGGAATGTAATACAATTTTGAACATACCTACTAATATGATATACCATATTTAACGACCTTGTAAAACACATGTACAAACACAACTTTGTAAGGAATATTATAATCATAGATTTAGTAAAAATTGATGTACGTATGATATACATAATAAGTTGAATGATAAAATACTTGATTTAGTACATTCCACAGTCTTTTTTGGTATCACAATTCACTCTCGTCTACAATGGGGATGTTGAAGTCTTGGCAGGAAGACTTAGTTTCTGTGTACTCAGTAAAAATGATAAGGCTGTTGACAGATGGCTGTGGATACAGAAAGATTGGTTTATTTTTGCTATTCACACAGTGACATGTCCTATTAATTATTGTGGGGATCAGTAACCAATATTGGAAATATAAAAATAGTAGTTTTGACAGTCCTGTTTTAACTATAACCTAACACTACTGAAAGAATTCTGAAGAGACCGAAACAAGTGAAAATCTGAGGGTGCAGGTCATGGATATATTAACACTTCCCAACCTAGCTCTCTCAATTTTGCTGAGTGGCTAAACATGCGTGTGGTTCACATTATTATGATGAAAGAAAGCACTTTTCTATTAATCGATTCCGGCCGTTTTTTCGCAATTTCTTGCTTGAGTCTCATTACTTTTGGCAGTAAAGATCCGAATCGACTGTTTTGCCCGGCGGTAATAGCTCATAATAAACGATGGCCTTCCAATCTCAGTTCCACACAGCGTCACCTTATTCAGTGTTAATCTGGTTTTACTACAGTCTGTGAAGCTTGACTACCTTTAGACCATGAACTTTTTCGCACGTTCTTGACATAGGTGATCTACTTTTCATCACCAGTAATCAATCTTTTCAAAAATGGTTCAGTTTCATTATGTTTCAATAGAGAATCGCAAATGAGTACATAATTTATTAAGTTTCTTTCGGTGAGCTTGTGTGGTACCCAAATATCGAGCTTTTTTTGATAGCCAGACTTTTTCAAATGTATCAAAACTATTTTGTGGTCAATCTTCAATTCATCGGCTATGTCGTAACTACTAATATTGCTTGCTCCACTTTTTAAAAAATGGCATCAACTTTATCCGTATGAGGACAATCACAGCGAGCTGCATCTGAAAACACTTGAACCGACTTTGTACTACTCTTACTGACATTGCATTAGGTCCATAAATGTTACAAATTTTTTTCGCGACTTGAGTCGCTTTTTTCACTGTTTTTTAATAAAACTTCAGAATGTATTGAATTTCTTCGTTAGATTCACTCGTTTTAGCGTACAAAAAAACAATTCAAAAATGGCGGGAAAGTGTTTATTACTTTTTATTTTTGTTTTTCTTTATGTCCTTTAAGTATTGATATTAAAACTTAGACGCCCATTACACGCCTAGGCAAGCGTTAATCAGTTCGATCAATCATGATAGACGTTTGTATGATAGAATAATTTCGACATTACACGCTCATGCTGACTGATGTCAGTCAAACCTAAATTTTTGGAGGGAAAGGACGTACCTATAAACTAAGTTCATTTTCGATTCACTATTTAATTATAATTTTATATCTTGAAAAGAGAAAGAATAAAAACGAATAGGAAAAATTGTAATATTTAATATCATTTTACCCATTTTAATTTAACGCGTGCCAATGTTCGACCTCTTGGAGTGCATAATTGATACGCGGCTTTATTTGAAACGCATTTATGGACGAAAAATAAGATTAACTTTTACATTTATTCGTATAGGGTGAATGCCCCTATTACCAGCCTTTTAGTGTCAATTTCAATTTCCTTTTGTGTACCTAATGCCAGCATAGCATAGGGCTATGCCTTTTGAGTTTTTGGTAGGTACCTATTGTAGGTATATTTTAGGGGCACTGAAATAAATTCATAACAACTTTTAATTTTAAATCATGCATGTCACAATTATGGAATATGTATTAAGATAGACGACAACAATTATTTTATTTTAATGTTTTACTTCTTACCTTAATGTGGTTTAGCTTAAAGCAGTTACATTTTATCTTTTAACACTAAACAATTAATTAAAACAATATTATAATAAAAAAAATGTATTATAGTACACCGATTTCTTATAATTTAACCATGTAAGTTTTTGAATCTTTATCATCATTTCAGCGCTTCACATGTCGACTACAGAACATCATCCTCCATAGACTGCCGCAAAGCATGGTCCTGAACCACTTTCCTTGTTACGACTTTTTCATTTATGTTCTTAAGTTATAGTAAAATTAGTATTACTAAGTTGTAGTTAATTACATTTATTGTTTGTTTTTGTCTTTCTCAAAAAATAATTAAATATTGTATGGTGTTCTTAACATATACCAAATGCCTGAAAAGCAAGTACGTTAAACTTTTAAATCAAACACCAATTTTAAAATATAGACGAATTGATCATAACTTACTTAACTATAAATAATAATAATATAACTCAAATTAATGGTATTTATTCCAGGTTATGACAGCCCTGATTTATATTACGTGGTTGAAATAAGGTACTTCTTATAATTTACGTCAAACAAAATAACAGTCGGGCGACTGACATTATGCACTCCGTAAATTTCGTATATCTAATTACAGCCCCATTAATTTCCACTAAAAGAAAATAAAAAACTTATGAATTTAAACAAAAATAGCTGCATTACTATGTCTATACTCACATTCATACAAATCAAAATGCCTAAAGATGAGCTAATGTAAAATATGCTTATGTTTTGATTTTTAATTTAACACTGTTAGGTTTAAAACTGTGAGGTAATATTTGAAATATACTTTCCTCTAATTACGAAGAATTTTTAGCCGACCATATTTGTAGTTAAGACTACTGGAAATCTTATTTACGAAGTAAAAAGGCTAAAAGGCTGAAATTAGGGGTGTGGCTGGTATTAGGGGCATCCAACCTACCCGGGGTTTTTCGTGTCCCACAACTCGGGCAGAGACTGAAAATTTAAAATAAAATCTTTTTCTGGCTGAAACACATTTGGTGGGAGTGGCAACGGGTTGCGCGAGCGCGTAGAAGCAGCCTCTTTAATATATTCTGCGTCCGCCTCCATTGCTATCTGAGCGTTGACTGACGCGTGATTGATGAAATGCCATTACACGTTCAATCAAAATTCGTGACTGAATAGTTGATTGACGTAAAAATCAAAATATCCAGATATTTGTCAATCAATTTCATGCAACCGTCTATCACTACATTACACGATAGGTTATTCGTCAATCACAACCGTGATTGTTGTAAAACTGACAGCAAAACCTACCGTGTAATGGGCGTCTTAAGAAAACACGCTCTTCCAATGACTCGAAGTGACGTTTTTATTCAGGAACAAATAGTTCTACCAAACAGCACAAAAAGATAATTGGCAGTACCAACTTACAAACAGAAAAATATTACAGATTATAAGTAATGTTTTAATACCCCCTTAACAAAATAACATAAAGTTTTAATTTGTTACAATTCCTAAAATTTTTTAAATTTTTTTGTTTACATGAAATTAACCCTTTTGTAAACAAGTCCATACAGTATCTGACTTTATCACTCACACCAAGCTTATTATGAAAGATCAACGTACATTGCACAATTGACACATGACAAGGAATGTCCACGAGCTCCCAAGCATCATTGTACTGAAATGATTTCAGCTCCTCTCGCATGGCTAGTTTCTATTGTTCAGCTTCAGGTCCATTCATTGCATACGAAAAATCAATTTGCTCCGTCAACGGTAAACCATCAGACACAGTTTTAACATTCAGGCCATATCGTTCTGGGGGTGTCTCCTTGATCTCTTTTCTAGCTGAATTTCTGAAACATCATTCAGTTTATTTTCAGAAATATTTGTCTCAGCGTTGGAGTCTGTTAGCGTTTCATCACTATCTGAATAAGTATTTGTGTAAACTGAAGTAGAACTTGAACTGCTCAGAGATTCATCCAGTGTCATATCCCCCACTGAATCTCTGTTTCCATTACTGATTTCTTCGTCATTATTATTCGACTGTTTAATTTTTTTTTTTGAACCCAAATCATACTGTCTTCCTTATGATTTTCTGTGTAAGTTTTGTCTTCCATTATTATTACATCTCTTTTTACAGTTACATTGTTTTTTTTTGGATCATTATCATGATATCCTTTTACATTTTCTGAAATATTTGTCTCAGCGTTAGTCTGTTAGTGTCTCATCACTATCTGAATATGTATTTGAGTAAACTGGAAGTACTAGAACTTGAACTGCAAAGCATCCCGAAGCTCAAGGAAAGAGAAAATTATGACAAATGGAGTTTTGCAGCGCAAAACTTGTTGGTGCTTGAAGGTATTGTGCACTACATCAAGCCGGTTACCAATCAAGATGTTAAGCCCGAAGAAGACGCAAAAACCAGGGCGAAGCTAATTTTTACCATAGATCCAGGTCTGTTTGTGCATATTAAAGAAACAAGTAGTTCTAAAGCGCATTGGAAGTGTGCTGGGTCCATAACCTAATAAAATGCGCTCTTCCATTACATGAAATGAAGTGACGCTTTTATTCAGGAAAAAACAGTTCTACCAAACATAACACAAAAAGATAATTGGCAGTACCAACTTACAACAGAATAATAGTCAAATTATAAATAATGTTTCAATAAAACAAACCAGAGATTTATCTGCAGTTTTATACAAACTCAAAACAAAAATCCACAAACAAAATCCTCTCCTATCCTGAGACTTTTTTTAATTATGTATATATTTAATAAGATTAAACAGTAAACAATTACTGTAGAGAAAAAAATAGTCTACTTGTGAGTTTTGTGCCACTTCTTCCGACAAGGTTTCTACGCAGCAGGAACTTGTAGAATCTATGGTGTTTTTGAGTTTCACTCACACCAATCTTGAATAAAAATATTTGACTTTGAATAAAACCAGTAAAAGAATTGTTCAAACCATTGGATTTGAATTTGTACATTCCACTGATGAATAACAATACTGATGATGATGAAGTCATAATTTTATACCTTAATTAATTAATTCAAGCAATCATTTTATACCATTACATACATAATGTATGTAATGGTATAAAATGTGTTTATACATGGTCAAGCCATGCTGCTGATATATATTAGTAGTATAGTTGTAGCATGAATGGGCCGGCTCGACCGGGGAAGGGCCATGCTCTCACAGAATACCAGCGTAAAATTAATGTCTATAATAACATAAAATTTTAGGCAGTTTTTTTCTCACAACATGTTTCTAAATTTACTTTTCAGGTTTACTTGGTTTACTGTTCATATTAAAAGCAGTTTATTTGGGTCTTGTTTAAATAAAAACTTTTTGTGCATGGTATGAATTTTATATAAATCCTAAGTGACATGTAAGGAATCCTAGTGATAGGACATCCTATTCTGCCTAGGTCTCCATATGGGTCACCAACTTCTTATGCATTTCTGCAGTCAAATAGCAGAGCCTGCACAGATGTGTTCCGATATGAAGGGTATAGAGGGTTAGTATAATTATAGACATTCCACCTTGAGAGGTGACAACACATCTATAGCTTTCTTTGTTTGAAGTTGGCTGCAGGTGTCCATGTGCTGCAATAGCTGCTTACGATCAGGTGGACTGTTAGTTTATTTGGCACTTCAATTTATTAAAAATATTCAGGGGAAAACAATTTTACCCTTTTTAAGTTCTACTTTATTTTGTTTCATTGTACAATAATACTGAATGTGTTCATATCTGAAGCTTTTTCATACTGCTATATAATACCAAATATATATGCCGAAAACTTCTTTTAAAATATTCCATTACTCAATGTATTTCCCTTAAAAACTGGACAAGATATAAAAAGTCATATTTTACCTTGGGATTGAATATTATTGATTTTAATACTCTCTTTTGTTCTATCCTCTTCCATTTTTTGAATTACTGGTTTCCCAAAGTTAATTTCCGTATCATCTTGCAAATCCTGCTTATCTTCTTCCTCTGAATCTGAAAAGTTATAACAATAGAGAAAAAAATTATATTATAATTTTATAATAAAGTTTATAACTTTATTTATGAATATTATATTGTGTATGTTAGTTTGGATAACCACTATAAAATATTACAAATTTGTATCAGAATTCATTATCAATAATACCTTTATTTTTCTTTTTTTTTTATTAAATTAACTGTAATATACAACCAGGTAATTAGATAAATCAAAATGTATTTTAGAATTAACTACTAAATTATACTGTTATTAAATAATGAATTTAAATGTATGTAACTATAGTTTTTTTAGTAGCACAGAATTGTTTATTCAAGTATGCAGGAAATATTAGGTAATAAAATATTTGCATTGCATTTGGCTTGTAGATGAAATTAGATTCACCATTTGGTCTTTATAGGTCATAAGCTGGTAAATAATTCTAGCATGTAATTTAAAGCCTTTATCATTGTTGTTATTCTCCGTACATATTGTTTTCTAGCAACACTGCATTTTTTAAACATTAAACTGAAAGTCAGTAGATTTATTACATGGCCATCAATTTTTCATCTTACTTAAATTAAATAGTACATATGAGATTCAGGTACTTATTATAAATGAATGGAAAGCAATTTGAAACTTTAGTGTAAAATGAAACATGATGTAATGCTATTCAAACTATTTTGATATCTTTAACAGTTATTTTTGTATACAGGTTTCAAATCTAATACATGCTTCATCATCATCATCATCAACATTACAGCCTTTCATAAGTCCACTGCTGAACATAGGCCCCCAAGGAATGTCACAAAGTACGGTCCTGAGTCACCTGCATCCATCGACTTCCAGCATGTCTTACCAGGTCGTCACTCCTTTCCCGAACGCTGCCCAGCCGAGTTGAATCCGTCGGTTGACCTCTTGGTCGAAGTTGGACTTACCTAGTCAGACTATTTGTCCCAGGTAAACATACTTGTCAACAACTTCGAGCTTAGTGCTCCCAACAACTACCGGCATAGGTGTGACATGGACATTAAACATAATCTTTATTTTGTCCATGTTCATCTTAAGACCTATCCGTTGGGAGACACTATTGAGGTCATTGAGCATAGTGCTTAGCTCCTCCAGCGATTCTGCCATAAGGACTATATCGTCAGCAAATTGAAGGTGAGTGATGTACTCGTCATTGATGTTAATACCGCATCCTTTCCAGTCCAGCAGCTTGAAAACGTCTTCCAATGCAGCGGTGAAGAGTTTCGGGGATATAACGTCACCCTGTCTTACACCTCTCTGCAGTTGGATAGGTGTATACATGCTTGTGTGAAAACATGCTTATCTACAACTAATTTTAAATAAGGAAGGGTACTGATGCATTATCACCCCTGGGGATTAAGCAACAATTTCTTTTATAGAAGCAAGGGTATCAAACAAGAAAACATTTCATCTGAGAATTAAGATGGAGTGGGTTGTTACCAAATCTGTTCGATTGCCCAGTAGAGCTGACCCCTTGTGGCAGCAAAGCAATAGCACATTATGGCTGCATGCTGCATACATATGTAGCTGTCCACATGACAGCATTAGTTTAGAAACTAAGTAGGTACCACTCAGTTTTAATAAGAGGAGAAGGGGTGGGAGGCATTTTACAATACACACAATCTACCATTATTTTTGTGACTGCTTTTTAATTTTTATGGTAATTTTTATTCATTCGGTCATTACAGCATGTCAAAAGTCCACTGCTGAATCGCAACAGCAGGTATTTATTATTTTCAGTTCTTATAAAGATGTTGCTGTCAATCTCTTGTTTCAGTTTCCCTCTGTCCCCTCTTACTACACCCATGGGATATGGGGTGTTGGATATTTTTACACGACCATTACACAGTGAAGAATTTATTCAACTAAGCACAATAAAATTTATGTTACCTTGTTCATCTTCTATATCATCAATTATTGGATCTTTCACTTCTTTTAACTGATTATTTAACAACTGATCTTCTTTTTCTACATCCTCTTTCTTTGGAGGTTGTGCTTCTTCATCTAGCATTGGTTTTTCATTTACAGCTATAGCTGAAGTATCTGGTTTCTGAACAACTGCTGATTGTTCTAATTTATGTATATCTTCTACACTAGGCTCACTCAATTTTTTTGTTTCTAGATTTTCTTCAATACCAGAGGCTTGGCTAATTGATGCTTTTTGAATAGATTTATCAAATTTAGCTGCATCTACATCATTTGCTGCTTTAACATTTGTTATTGTTGTTTTTACAATGGAAGTACCTTGATCCTTAATTTCAGAATTTAAGTTTCCACTGACACTCTTAGTAGTTGATACAGCAGTATTATTAGCAAGAAAGGGGCCTATAGATTTTATGTTTGAATTAGTTACTAAATCAGGCGCTGCAGCTAAAATGTCATTATTTGCGGGTTCACCTTGTTCAGATGGTGTACTTGATTGAATTTTTAATATATCAGAGCCCCATTTATAATATTTACAATATGTATTACTATCGTCACTTAACACATCTGGAACGTCACACACTTTTTGGCAATGAACATGCCCGCCAAAAACTTTTTCAGCAGTCGTTTTGTAAAGTGGAAGATCAGTAATGTTAGTGAATTTCCAATTTTGAGCATCGTTGCACATTGAATCAACTTTGACCATTTTTTTAAGTTCACTTATTAAATCCTCTTGCAACACTAATTTTGAAGTACCTACTGCTTCACAAAGCTGACTATTCATGTCGTAAAATATCAGACATTGCATTTGTTTACCATGAAATGGTGGAACCGCTAAATTGCATTCCAGCATCTTGTCTTTAATTTGTGATACAAGAAACTGGTTTTCACAATGGCTTGCAAGATCTTTGAGCAAACTAGATATTGGGTGGAGAGTTGCAGAGGTGGATATTGGATTACTTAAACTTCGATAGCACATATTTAACAGAAGTAATGTAATAATGAAGCGAAACATTTTTAAGTTTCCTATATTACGACTAAATACAATAAAATAATTTTCACACAGCAAAAACTTTTTCACGCACGAAAATTGTATTGTACAGAATACAGATGCGCACTTTTGACAGTAACAGGCAGTGTGGCCAACAACCAACATTAAAACTAGCTCTCCACCAAATTCAACTTCTAAAACCTTCTGAAAACCACTAACAAAAAGCGACCCTACTCTCATAATCTCTAAATTTTCCAACAAACAAAGGTTTGTTCATTACGAAAGAAAACAATAGGTATATTAGTGATTGGTTGCCTTTATTATTGTATACTGTGTAACAAAATATTAAATTTCTATGTAAATAAACAATCAATCAACATACAATTAGTAAATCAACAAGTCAACACCAACAATAAAAGACGGGTCCGTGGTGCAGTAGCTTTGCAATGAGTTCCAGCGCGAAGAGTCGCGGGTTCAAATCCCACACGGAATAAGTATTTGTATTGCCTACAAGTAATTACTCCAGCTCTGGATACGATACAGGAGATAAATTTTAATGTTGAGGTAAATTAAATCGTCTTTTTCACATAAATCATTTTTGTAGGTAGGTACTACTTGGTTTCCATCATCATCCTTACAATTGTACCAGAAATTTTTTTGCTACTTGACCCGTAATACTTTCAATCACTTGGAGCTTTATGGGTCTGGCTATGGGTCTTACAACCAAGAATTCCGAAACTTGTGCGTATAATGTGTTTTCGAAATAGTGACCTATGAACTCGCGAAAAGTGTACGACACTCAGTTTAGTGAGCTACTACTATAATATTTTGTACGAGAAATCCCATCGAATAGTGTAGATACCAGAATGGATCACCTAACGTCATGTCATGTTTGACGAATCAGTATTGTTTACACAGTGAAAGTAAATACTAATAAATATATTTCAAAACGTATAAGTGGCTTAATATTTGAGTGATCATGTATCCACTAATTGAAACTGAATTCTACTGAACCACTAGCCACTAAAAACAATATTTGTCCATTAGAAGGGGAAAGGAAACCACCAGTTTTAGTGGAAATCTACCAAGTTTGCAACACTGGCAATAGATTAGATTTATCAAAAAATATCGATATACCAAAATACTGATAATTGTTCATAAAATTATCGATATATTATATCGTCGATATTTTAAATCGTGATATGTCGATATTCGATATCTATTTAAGAGTATCGAATTCATATCAATTTCGATATTTTTTTTAACGTAACTCTGGTTTTAGTAGGTATTTAGAATAACGAAAGCCGTCGACTGATTTGCGTTGTTTCCGCTGGAGAACGACCACAAAGACTTTATTTTTTGATATTAAATAATTATTTGAAATTCAGAGTATAAAGAAAAACATATGTAATATATCACACTCAAAAACAAGTGAAACGTTCAGAAAAGGAGTCGCAGATAAATAATAGATAACACTGTACACTCTATTCTCTCTATTATATTTCTTACTCTCCCGCAGGCTAAATCCTGTAAATACTACTGTCGCTTTTTCGTTTCATCTAGTTTCAAATCACAAGTATTCTAAAAAAGTTTTCACTTTAAAAAATTTTGCACGTGTATTATTTTTTTACGAATTTTGAATGTTTTGGGAATATGTATGAATAATCTTGAATGCTTGCCAAAAATGACGACACTTCGTTATTTTTCCCTGGATAATTACCGATACTGTTTAAAAACATCGATTCAATAAATATCGATATGTTTTTTTCTTGCTAATCCCTATACAAATTCTGACAATTCCACGGAGTTGCTAGAGTTCCAGTTGTATTGCCAGACGCCAATTGCCCAGTGGCATTGCCCTATATTTCGCTTTCTAATGATATATGATGAGTGGTATCGCAATGTATCGTTACTGATTGTATCAACCACGATATTATCGCATGAGTTTGTATCGATATTGGGATTATCGTATCGTATTAATGTTTATAAAATACAATATGTAATCAAAAAATGGAAAATTCGAATCAACATGTAATTGAAACAAAAACTGTCAAACTGCCAAAATGTTCTGTGTGCGCAAGATAACTCTGCGTGCGGTCAAAATCGAAATTAATCGTGTGCCGCCATCTTACTGTTTATGGCTGGTGTCAAGACAATGAGTTTGTGTTATAGTGCGCGCAAGATAACTCTGCACGCGGCCAAAATTGGAACTAATCGTGTACCGCCATCTTACTGTTTATGGCAAGTGTTTAAACAGTGTTAGGTGTCGTGTTTTTATTCGTTTTTGCATTAATTAATCGTTATCATTATGCTGAAAGTGATTAAAAGTGCTGGCAGGGATGTTATTTTGAAGGTCAAACGTGCTTGTGAAGAAGAACGAGACCATAACGGGCCTATAGTACCGTTTTCCAAAGTTAGAGCCCGCGTTGCATATTTAACAGATAATTTTTAGGGATGCCATAACAATAAAACTTCCCAATTTTCTCTATTTGTTCGTATTTAGTTTCCTCGTGTCATTAATACTATGTATTTATAATGTATTGTCTTTATTTTGTTTTAGGTGTTTCTGAACGCACCGTCACCCAGATAAGTCATGAGGGTAATATAGCAGAAGCTTCATCTTTTTACGTGGTACTCTTGTTTACGTGGTAGAGCCATGCTGCAGCTATATTAATAGTACAGTTGTAGCACGAATGGGTCGGCTCGCTCTCACAGAATACCAGCGTAAAATAGCAGCTTAATGCTGCTGTTTCGTATGTTGAGTGTAGAGAACTGGAGACCCATTTTACTGGATAAGAGGCATTCTATCTTAGTCCTCGCGGCTGACGACGCATCTGCATTTTAATTCGCAA